TAAACTGTCTTCCAATGTCTCACAGTCTTCTTTCTTCTGACTTAAACATGCTATGATTCTGTGTAGATACGAATGCATTATATGCACATCCAAACATGCACACAGAATATTTCATGAAGTTAGTTATCATTGTAATTTCAGAAATCAATGAAATACTTAGGACAGTAGACACAGATGTGTCCTGTGAGTAAAGATGACTCTGTGAATTCTTTGATCCAACAGCTTATTCTCTGTAGTGCTCCCACCCCATTTCAGGGCTGTGTTCCCACAGATGGGCAAATATCTGGCCCAGCCTTTGTTGCAACTGCACAGCTACCTACAGAGAAGGAAGAGTTTTTCTTTTCTCCTCCCACAATTGAGTGTCTCCTTCCTGAGCTCATCTGGGGCACAATAGGAATGCTGCCAGAAGCACTACCCAGCTGCACCTTTGGGGGCTAAGAGTAGTTTCCCGCATATAGTGGAAACTGGAGATAGGGCACTGACTGCACTGGACTGGGTGGCAATAAAGAGGGCTTTTCCAATTCTCCTATTTGGTGAATTAATCCTTTTTCTTCAAAAGATGCCTCAGACAAACAGGAGCTGTCATTTGGAACACAGGGATTCAGGAAACACTTGGGAAAGTACTTGCCAGAAATTGCTCTTGAGTGACTTTACCTCAAAGAATTGCTGAGGATGAGCTGTTATCAAGTTAAATGGCAGACCTCAATATATCCATGCTCCCAATAAACCACATTTATTACCTTGCAAAAGTGACATTTTCTTTGACAGTGAAGTAGCATAGTTCTAAAGAAATAATTTTCCATAACATTGTTAGTCACCGGAATACAAAGTCTCTGGCATCAAACTCGAATGATGTCTTTGATGATAAGTATCATAAAAAGATGGACTGGGCTTTGATATTATGGAGCAGGTTGAAGAACGGGGAGGGAGGAAAAAAGGCATTCTCTGCCATCCTTCTATTATAGGAACTGAGATGGGAATCTGAACAGAAGGCCACACTATATGGAGACTTACTCCAAGCATCCATCCCCATTCTATCCAATTTAAATGAATAGCAGGGAATGCTCCCCTTCCCCTGGGGGAAGGAATGAACCTGGTATAAAGGATTACCTTTATTGAGAGGAATTGGAATGGGAAAAACATTTACAACAAGTATTAGGTTGGTTGCAAAAGTAATTGCGCTTTTTAACATTGAAAGTAATGGCAAACACCACAATTGCTTTTGCACCAACCTAATATAAATTTAGCTGCACAGACAACGTATGTTTCTATTATCCTGTCATCTCCTGGAAGATGCACAAGGGTAAGGAAGTCTGTACTACTTAACATTTGTGTAGCAGTTGAAATTTACAGTGTCTTCTCACATGAATTAACCCAATTACGTCTCCCAATAGCCCTGTGAGTTAGAAATTATCAATCACTTTTTATAGACAAGGAAACTGAGGTTCAGAAAAGGGAGTTAAATTCAGTATTCTATAAAATCAGAGGCTTGTGAAATCTTAAGTTTAGAAGGCACCTTAGAAGTGATCTAGTTAAAACTCTAGTTCAAATCAGCTTAATTTAACTCGATTCCACTGGATTCAATAAACATTTGTTTAGTACCTGGTTGTGCCTAGCATTGTGTCAGATCCTGGTATAAGAGTAGGAATTATTTCTGGTTTCTGTCCTGGAAAAGCATAGTGGCAAGAGGAACAGCCTGGTAAACAACTCATGCTCATACTGTGAAGGATATCATACCTGGAAGAGGTATGTGTGGCACAATCTGGGCAGAAGCCATTATTCACCTGAAAGGGCAGGTGTCAGGGAGCAGTGGTCTAGAGAGGTCCTGGAAGCTGAGCTCCTAAGGAGGGGGAGCCTTTCTGTGGGACTGGGAAGGGAGGGCCACTGGTCAGCAGAGCAGAATGGTGCAAGCAGAGGGAGTGGCATGAGCCCAGGACAAAGGGATGCTCCTAGGAGGCTGGCAGCCTGTGGAGCTAGTGTGTGGCTTTATAGGAGAAGGAGTAACGAGGAAGCTGGAAAAGGAAAGACGAGAATCTGAAGGATGTTGAGGACCATGTTAAGTAATTCAGGTTCTCTCCTCTAGGAAATAGGGACCCATCAAAGGCTTTTAAGCACAAGAGTGCAGAAATAGTGATAATAATGTTAATAATCCCAGGTAACATTTACTGAGCACTTACCACAGGCCAGACACTTTGCTAGACACTTTACATGTAGTAGCACATTTAATCTTCTTAAACACACTTTGAGGAAAGAACTGCTATAATCTCCATCTTACAAATGTGAAACCAGAGGTTAGGGAGCTGAAGTAACCTGCTGTGGCAGAGCCAGGCTCTCCAGCTGCGGCAGGCTTAGATGGCTGTGTCTATCAAAATGATCACTAAAAGCACTGTGAAAAGTCAGCTTCAATGGAGAAGGGCTTTATCCTGGCCCCAAATGCGTGACTCAGGACTCATCGGGAGGCCCTCAGTTTCTGATCTGGGGAGGGAAATGCCGCTATCCTTACACACTTGCTCCCTTCCCCAGGAAGCTCAGGAGAGGAATGTAGCCCTAGCTACCCAAGCCATTCCACTGCCTTCTGCCTGCCCCCGTCGTGTCTTCCCCCTCTCCCTGCCACATTTGCACTCTTCATGAGTGACAGCTCTGAAATCCGTCACTGTTGGTTCAATGGACTTTAGTGAAATCAAGGCTGTTCATTCTAGAAAGTGGACAACAAGCATGGTGGGGACTACCTGTGGTCTAAGATAGGTTTAGAAAGGCAGGATGAGCTGAGAACATACCATTAGCACCTTGCAGAGTGGGCCCCAGAAATATTCTGATTCCATGCCAATTAAATCTGGGTAATTGTGAATATATGGGTTAAGGAAATGAAAATGGCTGAACTGTAAATCAGTTTATTTAAATGCATTTTTTGATAGCAGAGTATAGGCATATCATTAGCTTGTAAATGTGTCTAATAAGCCTGTCTTCACTAATATGCCAAAAAGAGTCTAATTAACTCTTTTTTTCCTCCAGTTAGACAGCAGTGTGAGAATCCCTGATCACATTTCCACACTATCTTTTTAGCATCAGCAAAGCGGCACTAAAACAGCCCCTGTGACATCTATAAAAATGCTAGTTTATAATTAGGATGATCTTGGCTTGAACAATAATGTTGCAATTTGCAGTGATGGCTTCTGTTTCCCGTTAATTTTAATGTATTAGTCTACAATGCTCTGGAGATTTCTGGACAGACTAGCCTGTTTCCATTTCCAAAATTGCTAGCATTACATGCTTTAGGTTAAGGAAGAAGCAGCTGTGATTTGGTGGGAGTTTTTTGGGGGCAGTGGGGAGAACAGAAGGGCAGAAGAAACACTAATGAGAAAAGCCAAATACATTACCCATTCTTCATAACCCATCATCTGCTATGAGAGCCATGTCTTGGAGCCATAGGAATCCCAGAACAACAGAACTCTTATGCTTCTCAGTGTTCTCCAGTACAGGGATGGCTAACCTCTTTCCATCAGACTCCCAGGGGCCTGCACAAAACTGCCATGAATTCCACCAAGGGAATCCAAGAAGGCTGACCTTTTTGTTCGTTTAAGCTTATAATTCTTTGTAGAGTCAATTTGGATGTTGAGACGAAATGCCCACATCACTATCAGAACCATCACTGAGCCTGCCATGTCTCTTTTGTCATTCCTGGAACACAACTGCCCTTGTTGCCTAAAGCTAGAGTTCTTAACATCAGGAAAGAACAGCACATGGATAGGCTTCAGGAGATGTGTGGATACCCTGAAATAGAATGTAATGCTAAGTGAACATCAGAATTGTCTGCAGAAGATTTTACCCACATCAAAATGTGGGTTTCACCATTGAAGAAACTGGCTCAGTAGATCTTGGGTGGGATTTGGGAATCTGTATTTTTTTTTTTAAAGAACCTCCCTGATAATTTTGATAATATATCTTTAACTGGGGAGAATGTCCATGACTTTTATCAGAGCCTTAAAAAAATCTGTGACCCTAAGAAATTTAAGAACCCCTTGCATGAAGCTTGGCATGCTAGGTGCTTTTTAATCTGACCTCATCTTTCCTTTTCAACACTGTTTTCCTATTGGGGGATGGAGGGACCTAACAAATAGCACCATTTTTTCTTGGCTGAGTTCTAAGACAATTAAGAAATGAAACAAATGAGTAAGGTAGAAAGGAGATGAACATATTACCTTTGTTTTCTGAGTGGCTAATTGCAATGGACTACACAGTTTCAACAAATTCATATGTTGAAATCCTAACTCCCAATGTGATAATATTAGGAGGTCAGGCCTTTGGGAGGTAGTCAGGTCATAGTGTGGACACTTTACAAATGGGATTAATGCCCTTATGAAAGGGACCCTAGAGAGCTCTTTCACCCTCTTTCTGCCATGTGAGGACACAAGAAGTCAGCAGGATGCAACCTGGTAGAGAGCCCTCGGTAGCACCAACTGCGCTGAAACCCTCATCTCAGATTTCCAGCCTGCAGAACTGTGAGAAATAAAGATCTGTTGTTTACAAGCCATTCAGTCTATGTAACTTTGTTATAGCAGCCTGAACTAAGACATTAATATTGAAGAATGTAGCATGTAACTTCAGGGTAGTGAAGTAAAATACTGAAACCTCAAGTTTCTACCCACCCAGCCTCAGGTAGTGTTGGATGCAGGAGCAGAACCTGCTCCTGAAAGCTATGACATGGAGGACGGGGGCAGCTCCTATGCTGCCCACAAGCAGCTGACTCCTAAAGAGGAGGAAGGGCAGGTGCTGGAAAGCACAGGCTCAGCTTCTTCCCTAAACTGCACTGGGGTAGAATGAATGAAGGGATAAAGAGAGGCCAGGACTGTTACGCTAACAGAACTCTGTCTACATGAAGGGAAGCACAGGAACAGTTATTATTCCTTGATTAACATTTCCCATTATTTCCTAATAGGTCATGTGTTTCCCTGCCTCTGCATCCTGTTTATACCATCTATCCTGTCTGAAATGCCCTTTCAGGCCTCGCATTGGCAGCACATACACTAAAATTGGAACAATACAGAGAAGATTAGCATGGCCCCTGTCCAAGGATGAAATGCCCTCTCAATCATGATCATTTATCTGAATTTCTTGTGTCCTTAAAAAACAGGTGGAGTTTGACTTTCTCATTGACTGCTGCTGTAGGTAAACTGGGTAGAATTTCCCTGTTTCAGGAGCAATCTGCTCAGAGTCCCCACAGCCATTCTCCAAAGCATGATTGACACCAGCATTACAATCTGCAGGAGAGTTTACCCACACCAAAACCCTGGCCTCGCTATTGGAGAATGTGATCAGACCTTGAGTGGGGTTTAAGAATCTGTATTTTTAAAAAGACTCCCAGGATAATCCTAATAATCTGCCTGGTCCAGAAACCACTGTCCAGTCATTATTTGCATGACCCTTTTGGCACTCACAGCCCTGGTTACAAGAGGGGAGAAATGCATCTCACAAAGTAAAGGGGTTACAAGAAGGTACGTAGGATAAAGAGCACAGAGGAGCTTAGTTAGGATGGGCATCATGGAAAAGAGGCTTAAATATGGGTAAAACAATGGTGCCAAATGTGGGGGAAGTCACGGGAACAACCTCCAGCAGTTTCTCTGTAGCCAAAAATGACCTCAGCTGTCAAGAGGACATAAGAGAATTATATGCCCATTATCTGTAAGGGAGTATAATAACAATACCTTTGAAGAGTTGTTGGTGAATGAAGGAAACAAAGTATATAAGGCACCTAGCACAGTTTCCAAAATATAGAAGATACAGTAGTCCCTCTTTATGTATGGTTTCACGTTCTGTGGTTTTAGTTACCTGTGGTCAACTGCAGGCTAAAGATATTAAATGGAAAATTCCAGAAACAAACTATTTATAAGTTTAAAACTGCCTGATATTCTGAGTGCTATGATGAAATATTGCTCCATCTCGCCTGGGACATGGGTGATCCCTTTTCCAGTATATATATGTTCTGTGTGCTACCTGCCCATTATGATACAGGAATAAACAGTGTATACAGGGTTCAGTACAATCTGCCCCTAGATTCCACTGGGGGTCTTTGAGCTTATCCTTTGCCGATAATGGGGGATTACTGTACAGTGAATACAACTTAGAATGTCATTGTAATCCAGATTCAATTTTGTGCCTACAATACTTGCCTGTGGAAAGGGAATAGGGCAAGTAATAACAAAATCACATATGGATAGAAGGAACACTGATATTCTCATTTTGTTCATGTATTGATTTTTGCTGAATTCCATTAGTTCTTCGTGTTTTCTTTTAGCTTTTTGAGTATATTTAATATAGTTGTTTTAAAGTCTTTAAGTCAAATGTCTGTGCTTTTTCAGAGATGATTTCCACCAATTTTTTTTNTTTTTTTGAGATGGAGTCTTGCTCCGTCTCCAGGCTGGAGTGTAGTGGCGCAATCTCGGCTCACTGCAATCTCTGCCTCCTGGGTTGAAGCGATTCTTCCGCCTCAGTGTCCCGAGTAGCTGGGACCACACACGCGTGCCACCACACCTGGCTAATTTTTTTGTCTTTTTAGTAGAGATGGAGTTTCACCGTTGTTAGCCAGGACGGTCTCCATCTCTTGACCTTGTGATTTGCCCAACTCGTCCTCCCAAAGTGCTGGGATTACAGGTGTGAGCCACCGCACCTGGCCTGCCAATTTTTCTTCCTTTGAACAACCTATGCTTTCCTGTTTCTTTGTACGCCTTGTGCTTTGTGTTGGAAATTGGTTATTTGGAAAAACAGCTCTATAGGTGTATGGTCTGTAGTCTCTTGCAGCTTTCATGAGCAGCCCTGCCACTTTTCACTTAAGTTCCAAGTTGGGTGAGACAGAGAATCATCTTTCATGGAGCTCCCAGACATGTTAGAACATTGCAATTCTGGTCTTCTCTGCTTTTCTGATTCAAAGGCGGGAATGTAGAACTGGACTGCCCCTCCTCCAGACCCACTGTATCATGCTGCACAGGGTGTAGGAGGAGGGCAAGTGAATTACCATGAATTTGCCTCCTTTTTTATATGTAGCTTGATTAAATGTTTGATTAGTTGCTGCAAACTTTTGACTGTTTTCAGAGCTCCTGTGGGTTATTTCAGCCAGTTTCTGTTTGTTTTCTGATGTTTCCCTGGGGAAATGAGGGATTGACTATCCTAGTTCACATTTTTGCATCAGTCCTTCTTGCTCATCCCTTTTAGTTATCTATCTTTCAAGATGCCACTATTATTTTTCTAAAAAAATTAGAATTACAGACATAATATTTTAAAGAATACCATTATGGAATTGTTGGAATATGAATGGACTTCAAAAACCTTTCTGCCCAAATTCTTTCTTTTTTTTTTTTTTGTGAGGAAGTGAAGGCTTTTTTCTGGAAAGGGAAAGAAACTTTTCTGAAGTCACACAATCATAAGTGGCAGAAAGAAGCCTCAAACCCAGATTTTCTAACTGAATGTCCAGTGGGATCAACTTAAGAAATATGTGTGACCCTGAAGAGTGTCCAGCAGGCAGGATTTAGCGATGCTAGCACTGCTGTCCTCCTGGGTGTCTGTGCCCTTCCCCACCCCGCACACCCTTTTCCTCCTCTGGGACAGTAGTGATCATTTCCAGTTCTTCATGTTAATTAAAGCAGTGCTGATGTGGCTGCTCAAACAGGAAGTGTTTTTCTCTTCTCTTCTTACAGGTATTGCCTTTGGAAGTTCACCAACAATTGCCTGAGAGTGCTGTTGACATCAGGGAAGACAGCGTGGAGAGTGATCCTGCACCATTATCTCGGGACATGCAGAGTTTTATTAGGTGACTGCTGTAGCTATCAGGCTCAAAGACTTTAGAGCTTCAAAGAACTTGAGACAGAGATTAGACAGGTCCTTTTAGAAAGCTGTTCAGGTGACCTCAAAAGTTGATTTAAGGACATTTTCACTGGCAACTATTTTCCTCCAAAATTATATGTTCTATATCTTGCTTTTGCACTCATTCTGTCATCAATAATAGTATTAGCAACAGTGGTGGCAGTGGTAGTAATAGTAGTAATGCTTCTTGGCTGTGAAGTACATGTTTTGAGGATCAGTAGTCCTAGGAATCTTACAAAACTAAGGACCTGTTCTTCCAAAAAGTATAGATATGAATAAACATACAATTATGAGATTGTAAGAATTTACAAGCCTCCTACAAGCTAGAGCTCAGATTAAGATCCCCTGTGGACAGATGGTACCATTAGCTTATTTGTCATGCTGTTCTGGATAAGCCAGTTTTCCTGGTTTCTGTTTTCTTGCATCTTAAAATGGGAATAGACAGTGCATTCATAATTGGAAAGAACAAGGTTAACAGCAGAGGACTAGGTCTGGGGTAGCATCAGCCTGGGGTGAACAGGTGTGAGGCACAGAAAAAAAGGAGAAACAGAATCTGAATATGAGGGGATCCTGCAAGAAGGCAGGTGACAGGCAGCAGGCTGGCATGGGAGAGGCCCATCCTCAGGAATCAGCAGGGGGTGGGGAGATTAGTAGATTCCAGTAGGCAGCGTATTTGAGAAGTAGACAATTTTTTAGATTTGAATACCTGGTAGTTAGTCAATGAGTAGGAGGAAGTGAGTCCCCAGGCCAGGAATCAGGGACAGACCCGCCATCCCTGGGGAGGTAAGCCAGGGCAGTAGTGCAAGAGGAAGTGAAATGCGGGCAAGGTCTGGGAGAAATAGGCACCAAGAACCATCTAGCCACGAGAAATGGGGCTCATACTGGGGCTGAGACATGGGACAAAGCAGCCCACCCATAGGAACCAGATAGATGAAAGACAGGCACCAGTGGCTTACAAAAGAAGGATACAATTAGTCAGTATAGATATTAAAATGTCAGACCTCAATATTAATCAAATAACTGCAGATTAAAATGATACCATATTTTGCTTATCAAACTAGTAGTAATTTTTTTTTAAGCTAAAAGCCGTTCATGTTAGGGAGTAAGAAAATGGGTACACACTCAAGGCTGGGCACTTTGATGGGTGCAGTCTCTCCTAATTTGAAAAAAAAGTCAAAAGCTTGAAAGATATGCACAGATTTTCTCCCAATTTTTTTACTCTGAGAAATTTATACAAACAAATGTTTAAGAATGTGCACATACATTTAGCTACAAAAATGCTAATTGCAGAGAAATCAGATGTCCAACAATAAGCAACTGGCTAATGAATTATACAATATCCATATACTGGCAGATCATGAATAAGTGTGGCTGATGGTCTATAATTACATTTATTGGCATGGAAAGATATTCATGATATATTGCTAAAGAAAAGAATCTGGTTACAAATAGGAACATTTAGTATGTTCCTGACACATAGTATACTCTTAATAAAAATGTGATTTATTGCTACAGTACAATACTAATATGCCAAAATGTCAATAATTATTACCTCTGGTAAGTGGATAATGGATTTTTTTTCCTTCTCTCTTCTTTTGCCTATTTTCTTACTTTTCCACTAATGAGCAGGCATTAGTCATATAACACAGAAAAAGTAAAAGTTACTTGAAAAAAAGTACAGATTATTAACTGGATGCCTCCTTTATCAGCGGTCTAGGGAATATTAACTAGCATGCCCTGATCTGAAAGTCAGGCTTAGATGACCTCCCCAAAGCCTAGGCTGCATGAAGCAGGCATGGCAGGTCTGTGCTACTCCCATCCTGTTCCCCTCTTAAGGCTCCACCACTCAGCTAAAAGCAAAGTCGATATCAGGCCAGTGGCCAGATCCCAAACGCCAGGCCTCACTGAGAGAAGCCTTTTCTCAAGTACCTTCTAATTGCTAATTACATACATATCAAATACTGAAAGGTACACAAGGACACAGTAGGTCTGTCTTGTTTGCTATATTATCTTCAGTACCTATAGCACAGTGCTTAGCACATAACAGAAGCTTGATAAATAGTTGAGTAACTGATATAGTATAAATATTACAAAAGAAGGTGAAGAAAGAGGAAAAGAAATAAAATTAGATTCCATGAGTAAGTACCCTACATGTGCCAGGGACTATTTTAGGAATTTCTAAGTAACTCTTGTGGTCAAAGATGTAAGCTCTGATACTCAGGATGCCTTGGGCTGAAATCTTGGTTCTA